CCATCAGTTGATTCGACATTTCGTCCGACCGCGATGTGCAATTGGGTCAAAACTGCGAACTTCCCCGTCGACTCCCCGTCGACATGCGGCCTTTTTAACATGCTCTTCTCAGCTAAGCCGCCTAATGAGATGGCTGTTAGGCCTCACAAGGTTGCGAAGCTGTCCCAATACTGGTGCCAGGTGGGCAGCCTCACTTGTCGGTGCCTTGGAATGAACCGCGCAATGACAACCTCTCACGCAACAGGCTGACGAGTCCACAGACGTCAGAGGCTGCGGATGATGCTTATTAGTAGAGGATAAATCTGACCCTCTGCCGCACATCGAGGTAGGAATTCGCTCGGCTGATCACTTGAACTAATACCCCAAGAAAAATGCACTCCCTCAAACTTCTCATTTCATCTCTCGTCGCGACTGTCGTGGCCCAGTCCACAGTGACAGTGCGCGACAATGCCCACAATCTCACCTATATAGGCTTCAGCGTCGCAGGAACCGAACAGTTCCAGGGAATCAATTTCGGCCAGGACACGTCTGGCGTCAACCGTTTCAAACCCCCCAAGGCCTTTGCCTATCCCACAGGTACAACTGTCCAAGCCACGGCCGCTGGCGCTGCTTGTCCACAAAACACCATATTGTCGTTTCTTGGTGCCATCAGCGAGAATCCCGGCGTTTTCAATATCTCCGAGGACTGCCTAAATCTCGAGGTTGTCAGACCAGCGGGCACGAAACAAAATGCAAACCTCCCCGTAATGGTCTGGATCTCCGGCCAAGGTGATGAGGAAGGCTCATACAACTATTCTTTGTACAATCCCACCGCGCTTGTGGCCGGGGCTGCTGCCAAGGGTACGCCGGTGATCTATGCTGCAATGAACTACCGTGTCAATCTCTTTGGATTCGCCAACAGCCCTGCTCTTAGGACGGAAGGGTCGCTGAATGCCGGTCTGCTCGACCAACGGCTGGCGCTACAATGGATCCAGTCCAACATCGCCGCGTTTGGGGGAAATCCAAAGAATGTTACGGTATTTGGCGAGAGTGATGGCGGTGTCAGCGTGGGATTGTGAGCCTCCCCAAAACCCTTACGCACCGTTGAAAGGGCCTCTTATTGAAGTATCGTCTGCTATGATGCCACTCTTTGACACTGACATACAATAGGCATATGACGGCGTTCGGTGGGAATGGTAAGGATTTAAGGTCGATCACTCTTCAGTGGAGATTCTAAAACATGATTGACAGGTACTGCTCCCTTCCATCGAGCTATCATGCAATCTGGGGCGCCAGCGAGTGATCCTGGTGTCACTGGAAATGCAACGGCCACAAACACTGCTGCGGTTGCTCGACTGGCAGGCTGTACAGGGACAAATAGCAGCCTAGTCTTGACTTGTCTCCGGGCAATTCCCATGGTCCAGCTCCTCAATGCCGTTCTGCTATTTGAGAATACAACAACAGCTACCCAAGCCAACGGCGTGTCTCAAGATTTGTTTTTCCCGACCGTTGACGGAAGCTACCTACCTGATGCTCCCTCGACTCTGATTCGCACAGGTCGCTTTCACAAAAACATAGCCGTCATTACTGGATGGAATGAAAATGACGGCAGCATCTTTGTCCCTCCGACGCTCAACGGTTCCACCGCTGTACAGGCTTTCTTGCACTCCTCGTATCCGAATCTCAACTCGACCACGCTATCAAGGCTGCTTTCGTTGTACCCAGTCAGTGGGTTCGTGGCAGCCGCCCAGGCATCCCAGATCTCACCATTCTTCCTGCAAGCGTCACAGATCTACCGCGACATCAATTTTGCATGCCCATCAATTGATGCATCTCACCGTATTTCTCAGTTTGGCAGTGCGAGCTACCTATACGTCCTCAACACGACGTCATTGACCAGCGTGCTCCAGATTTTCAATGCCTCCTTCGAAGGGGTCATCCATTTTTCCGATGTACCTTTCGTCTTCAACCAACCGAACGTCGGCTTCGGAACAACGGCGGCAGCGAACCTGACTGCAACCAGGATGTCGGGTAGTTGGGCACATTTTGCATCGACGGGCAACCCGAGCGGCAACCCTGCAATCACTCTGTCAGGCTGGACCCAAGCATATACCAAGTCTCAAGCAGCAGTGAAGAGTCAGAATGTGACAGGGGCGAGCATTAGAGTTATTGGTGGACCTCGCGCAGGACAAGCGCAGCTGTCATTAAATGCTCGAACCGCGGTGGAGCCTCAGCTGTTGCAACGATGTGCATTTATCAACTCGGCGGCATTCTATCAGCAGTTGCAGACATGAAAGTCTGCGACGGTCCTGCCAAATTATGCAAACGCTGTGTGATACATATACCATCGATGGATCACGTAATACATGATAGCTTTGAGCTAAAGGATAATCCAAGCTCTGTGAGAACTGGCTATACTTTGCGCTCGGTCCAAAATCCTGTAAAGATCCGCGTATCTCCGAAGTATGAAGCTGCAAGGCTGCAGCGCAGGGCTGAGCGCCTCGGCACATTTTCCGTTTCCAGAAACGGCATAGCCCGATTCTTGGCGGAAAGTACCCCAACTCCGTCTTCGCTTCCCCTCAGCATTCAGTTTGTCATAAAAGCCTCCAACCAAACTTTTCAAAGATTATACCAGTCTAACACAACCCTCCTAGAAAAGCACCACTGGTGTACTAGTAATGTGCTCACACTGAAGTTTACGATCTGACTCAGAGCAAGATACATACACAGACCATCAAGACTCAGCAGCAATGTCGTTTGGTAAATTGCCTTCTGAGGTACACTCTCTGATCATTGGGCTAGTGGCAGACAACTCCTCATGGAAAGAAGGTTTACGTCTTCGATGTGTCAACCGTAAGTTAATATTAAAAATCGCTGTCGTTCGACGCGCATCGAATGACAAAACGTCTGGCAGGTCTATTCAATCGCGAAATTCAGGCCCAATACTTCGATTTTGGCAGAGTGCACACAAGTATGGAAGAGGATTTTGAGAAAATAACGTTGAAAATGGGGCTTCAGCACCTGTACCGGTTACTGAAGGGACAGATATGCTCGCCACGGCCGAAGACTGCCCTGATCACCCATTTAAAGGGTGCCGTTGCAATCCTGTTGTCGACTCCTACTTTCCATGTGTCCGACAACGTGGAAACCAGAAATGTGAACACTGTCAGTGGAACGATACGACTCGAGCCGGGAGATCGCTTGTGTCAGACTGCGAACATGGTTGCCCTCGGTGTTCTCGATTTCGTTGCCGGGGACAAAACTACACTGTGTGCGCAGCTGGAACGTCTAGCCAGAAGCCCGCGACAAATCGATTCCCTTTCCTGGGCCCTAGTGACTGCAATTTCTGCAAAAGATACTGTCACCATGAAAACTCTCGTAGAGCGAGAGCCTGACATGGATGTTCGAAAGCACATCCTTGCCGATCCCTTGCGCTTTACCATAACGAGCCACTGGTATGATATGGTGCGGTATCTCTTGGATCATGGCGCGGATGTCAACACCCCCCATCATCATTCACATTGTTCACCAAGATACGACCGGATGGCAATCGAGCAACCTTGTTTATCGGGCGATGCCAAAATGGTGGCATTGATGCTTGAGCCCCAGTACGGGCTCAAACTAGATCCAGGAGACTGTGATAGGCTTTTGTGCTCAACCGTGCGGAAGCTTGCCCAACCCAGGCATGCTGATCGCACTAATAGCTATATCAGTATTGTTCGACTTTTGTTGCAGACAATAGTACCCGCAAATGACCAAGGCTCTGTTCAGCATCTCGTGGTTCATCTCGCCGTTGTATACGACGTTCACGAACTGATCCCGATCGTTGTGGAGATGGGCTATGATGTCAATGAAACAGAAGGTGGTCGGACGCACCTGAACCTCGCCGCAGCCCGTGGTGAAACCGAGGTGGTCCAGACACTACTCGACCATGGCGCGCGGCACAGTCTTGAGGGTAACCATGACGCCGTACGGGCAGCTTGTGTGAATGGAAGGGCAAATGTACTTCGCATCTTGCTCACCCAAGTGACTACCATCGAGGAATACGGTCATGCGTTGGCAGCTGGTCATTTCCTGCTCGCCGCCAAGGCAAGTTTCAGCGATCCCGAAACCATGTTGCGTTACATGGAGGTGCTGGATTGTCTCTGGGAACATGGACTCGACCTCGATGCGGCTAATTGTGGTGTCAAGGCCTTGAAATATTCCCTTGAAAACAACCACTTCGCGCTGACCGCGAATCTTCTTGCAAAGGGGTTGCACCTTCCTGAAAAATAAAATCAGAATTGAAGAGTTTAAGCGCGTCACGAAATTTGCTCAAAAGGGACAGAAATAATACGCCTGTATCATCTAAACCTAATCCGGACGTAATTAACCCCGGGCTCTGGTAATATTACAATATTGGTACGATGTTATGTAGTAGTCCTATCGCCGTTAATATCGTTTGCTTAACGTCCAAACCGTGTCTTTCAATCCAAGCAGACACACATAGATGCATTGCTAAGTTGTTTGATTAACAGGAGGAGAGAGTCTGCCGTCTTCTTGTCTACGACTATAATAATATACTTACTAGTACTGTACATGATATGGACTATAGTGAGCTGAAATCGCGATGGCAGTACTAGTATGGTAGTAGCGATCGATGATTACTAGTAAATCAGACGTTTTCTGGCCTCTACGTGGTCCTGGTGGGCTGCTACTTAGTACTACTAGTAGTTAGTACTACCAAGTATGTGCTTACTATGCACATCATGTACTGGATAGAGGGATCCATCCACAATCCATCATATGCCATGTACATACCTAACCAAGTTCTAATCACTCTGGTTCGAGTCATAAACTTCGATGGATTTGGGGACTGGATTTGACTTATTATACTTGTGTGTTCCTCTCATTGTCCTCATGACAACTAGGTACTATGCATATATTGCCCTGGAGGTTTCAAAAGGCAGTAGCGACCGATTCCGTAGTGATCAATTCCTGTTCACTTGTAACACGAGCAGCACCCACATTGGCAGGTGCCCCTACCCCTTTTTGCGAGTCTCTTCGTCCCTCTTCTCTTTCCACTTCAGACCGGCGCCGTCCAGCAGGCTCCAAACCTTCGATATCTTGCCTTTTTCAAAGGCGTAAAAAACATGCTCGTAGAACGTGTCCTGCGTCGTCGACGTGGGCTTGTAGGTCAACTTGAGTCTAGCCGCGATCGAGCCATCGCCCTCACGTGTGTCCTTACTTGTCGTCTTGGTTCCAGCAATGGTGACGGGAGTAGTTTGTGCCTTCTCCATTACGAGCATTTCCACCGCGAAATCCAGTCCGGGGAGGTCCCTTTTGCTGTCACTTATGATCTTTGCGTATTCGTCGACCGACATTGGCGCGGAGTCGTTGTGAATCACACCGTGATTGACAAACTCAGACAGGTCTCCCGGGCCACACTGGCTAGAGTTGATCTTGGAGATGTAAGCCAGATATTGACGTCTGAGATCTCCGTCAAAGGTTTTCACAATCGGCCGGTCTTCCCATACGTAGCTTTGTTTGTCTCGTCATTAGTGGTCAAACAGACACTCCAGGTTTCTTTTCTTGGGGACAAGCATACTCATCATCCTCGTCGTCGTCGGGGTTCCTGTCGCCCAACACAAATCTCTCCTTTCCGTTGGGTTTCATCTCTTCTTCGATGGCAACTTCGCCGAGACGCGAGAAAACTTCATCTATGACAGCGGCAGCATCCACGTGTTCGTTATGGTGACCGTGGTGCGTGGAGTGTGAAGCGTGTGTGGGGGCCGCGTGCCCCGTGTGCGGCATAATTCCTAGATTGCAGTGTCCGAAAAACTGAGAGGCTTAAATGTCTAATGCGTTCTCTGCTCAGTCGAGTGAGAATGTGTGTGCAGAGATCCTTCAGCGCATTTCTAAGCGTACTCGGTATACGCGATTTAATATTCAAGATTATTGTATTTGCCATGTCGATCATGCCACTTTCACGTGACTGTTGAAAAGCGGTTGCTGCTGCTCCTTCCAATCGGAAACATCCGTCATTTTGCATTCTGATATTTCGCTCTTCGATCATTGTACTTGTTACTTGTTACTTGTAGTACGGGTGCTGGTCACGATCCAAGAGACCAACCGATATTTTGCGGAGAGGCGTTTCATGTTGCAAGTGCCCCAAGCAGTGGGCGCCACTAGTGGATCACGTCGAGGGGCCGTTAGCAAGAGCTGAAAGCAACGCTTGTGCTGACAAAGGGGGTTTTCAGCCTCGAGGCCCCCCAACTCAGCCCCTAGATGATACTATTACGGTAAAATGCTCTGTGTGCCACCAATCAACGTGCTTGTTTCGTCGATCACGTCACAAACAAAGGACGAGACTCGAGAACCAGCGTCCGCTAGATCTCAGGCACGAGTGGAAAGAGCCCCTTGCCTTGGCGTTTCGAAAGATCGGAATGACCCAGAAGCTGATTTCGTTAAACCTTTGCGAATCAAACGTGGACCAGGACATTGTCACGGGTCGATTTCGGGTCGGTCACCAGGCGCATAGCGTTTCTGGTCTGCCCGCGGCGGCTCCCCTCGGCGTTTGACGTGAGTTGGCGAAAAGCACACGAATACACAGCGTTGACCAGGGGCCAAATAACTCGAAGGCCGCAAAGGTGTGCGAGGCTGGAGGCCTGAATTGACCGAAACAATGAAACAACGCCACAAAGCCCCCCCAAACATTACACAAGGGCCCGTCACGCCAAGCCTCCCGCCAAGATATTCGAGGTAGGAGTATTTTAGCAGCCAATAGGGTATGCAGCAACTGCCTTTTTCAGCCTAGCGGGAGGTGGAGAGAATAGTCGCACCCACTGGACTACACGCTTCTCCCACTTCTCCACCCACTTCACCATGCACCTCACCGGTAAAGTCGCTCGGGCGCCACAAAGAAACTTCCTCCTCCTATCAGTCCAGCTTTCCGTTTTCCAAAACAGTGTTAACCAAGTCCACAAAATGGACCCGGACACATTAATAAGACTCGGTAGTTCATGGAGCTAAACTCGATTTCTTTCAGCTCTGCTACCACACAAATTACCTCTGGAAGCTGTACAAACCAACACCCACCCCCATATACCAAGCACCAAGAGGCGATCTGTGACTAAGCCCGGTCTGAGGCGAGATTGTGGCCGCAACGCTGGACCAAAACTTGGTCAGAAATCCCTCCCCGTGTCGAAGAGGATGACTACCTAGTCAAACGTTTCAACTACGGCCGCATCTTCCCGTCGCCTGAGCTCTTTCAGGCAATTCCAAGTCCCGTCACTCCAATCAAACTGGCGGTTTGGCGCGACCATATGATGGATGTATACTAGGTAATACTCCTGGTGTTTTTGGCGGCTCTTTTAGACTTTTGGCCCCAGGCGTCCAGGAGACCTACGCTAATTGATGTTAAGATCCCCGTGATTATTTTAGTAACGGTCCGTTCCTTTAAAAGTCTTGCTGTCTGTCGCCATGTTCGATTTTCACAGCCCCTACCGTCTGAGCGGTATGTGCTCGCTGCGGCAGCATCTTCTCTTCTGCATAGCGCGCATTTTTACCCTGGCAACATGAGTACGTTTTACTCTCGTCTACACCCCCAAGGTACGAGCAGGGAACGTTTGGCAGGTGAGGTTCACGATGTCCCCATGACGAATATGGGAGGCCAGACTCCCGAGAATTGGAGCCAGCCGGGATATAGCGACGATTCCCTTAATGACCGTATGAAACCCGACCAAGAATATGTAAATGCGCGACCTGGAATGACAGGTATGACGGATCATTGAAGGCCCATTCGATATTACTCTTATTGACACGAATCTCAAGGTCAAACCTACAGGACAGACTCTAGTTTTAGCATTCTGTCGGTCGCATCGTCCCCCTGGGAACACAAACTCAACGAGAAACATATTCGCGATGTCCCCACGAACACCGAGACCGTTAGATACTTTGACCCTCGCCGGCAGACACGGAGAGTCTTCATCGACTGCCTGAAGATGTGGTTTTGGACTGCTGGAATTTGTGGCGCCCTCGCAGGCACCATGTACGGCTTTTCCACCATCAAGACCGGTCTCTCGCAGACGCAGAAGTACGTTTACAACGCCATGATCACCGGCCTCTCCATTGTGCTTGGCCTTGCCTTTGCTGCACAGTTCAAGCAGTACGCCGAGATGATGCGTTGGAGATTTCTCGCATCGCAGTATCGGACCATTCAAGACTTCGAAGACGTTCTCGGGTGCGATAGTTACCGAAGTACCCTGCGCATTATGTGGAGAGGTCGGCGCCCAGGCACATGGTACCCGAGCAAAGCCCAAGTGGTTGCTTTTATTTGGCTTCTCATCTTCGTGGCCTTCAACACCTTTGCTGCCCTTCTCGGGTTGACATATTCCATCGATGTGTCGGATGAATTTGTATCCGTCGGTAAAGGTATGTGACCAGGCCGCTGCTACCCATCCGAGAGGCTCGATGAGCTCGGCGATTCTTTTTTGCTAACATTCCACAGGCCTTGTCAGCGTCGCCGACCTTCAATACATTGCAAGCCAACCACAACCCGACAATGGCAGGGACTACGAGCCAGAGTTTCAAAAAGCCGCCGCGAATCTCTGGGGCCAGGTGGGTCAGAATTTTCCTGTAGTCACGGCAACGCCCGACGACTACAGTGCTGGATTGAATGTGTTCACAACTCCGGCAAGGGACCAATGGTGGTACCGTTTCGTTGACTTGGGGCCCGACCTCAAGACAAACGTCGCTTCTTCAAGGACCGTCACCAGCCAAGCGCAATGCGAGGAGTATACAGTCATTTTCGGTGGATATGCCGGATTCAATACCGATAACATCACACTGCTGAATACAGTCCAGTGGGTGGACAACTATGGCAATGTATTTTCCGAAGACGTGGAAAACGTGGCGACTGGGTTGACGACTTGGATGGGAAATTCCACCAGCGAAGGCGTCGGCTGTGGCCCCCGATGCAGCCAGATCCTGGCGCTACAATCAGCCAATAACGGAACAGTACCGAATCCCCGTCTGTGGGCATGCAACAATACGGTTGGGCAGGTGGAAGGTATCGACGAAAGTGGCTTTAGTGATCCGACCCTCCTCAACCTGCCCGACGACCAAGCCTTCTACCTTGCAGGTTCAATTGGCTGGACCGGCGTCGAGACCGAGGGTGACGACCTCCAGTTCTTCCTTTTCGACGGAGACACTCCCTTCAATCCGGCCGGCAACGCCACGGCGCAGTCCATGGCGGAGCTAGTGATGAAATTCACAGTCGGGGCGCTGGCGGCGATGGACTTGATGGGCGGACCACGCCAGAACCTCACGGGCGAGTCCAGCCCCAGTCCGGCGCAGGTCGTCAACGTGAAATGGGTCAACGCGGGCGCAATCCTGGCCGGCATTCCCCTCGTCCAGTTCTTCCTGCTCGTCGGCGTCGTGTGGTTCTCTGGGAAGGCCATCATCCTCGAGCCCAGCTACATGACCGCTGCGCACCTGCTGTACCCCGTCATCAAGAAGGTCGGCAAGGACGGCTGCCTCTTCACCGTCGACGAGATGGCCGAGAGGCTGGGCAGCAATTACAAGATAGCCTACGGGGTCCGTCCCGATCCCGCCGACCCCGGTCACCACGACACCACTTTCGTCCGTGACCTGGACGTGATTGAGGAGAGAGAAGGGTACGGCTACATTCGTGGCGCCTTCCCCGAGGGGAGGTATGACTGAGATTCTTTCCCATGATGACTGTACGAGCGTTGTGCTCCATTGAAGGATATTTGAACAGCAGCCTGTCTATACTTGTATATTAGAATGAAAAAGCAAACCGCCTTGTCCGAACAGGGCTTTGGCGACGGCCACGGCGCACCTCGTGGATCTCTAGGTACCCATGAAAAAAAACGCACTTGTGATGTCTGACATTGCCGAGAAGGCGCAATTTTATCATTATTAGGGGCCGACCCCCTCCCGTTCTATGTTGTCTCTATCTAGATGACTCGTTTATCCATATCTCTCCTCTTTTGTTCCCTGTATTATTGAGGCGACGCCCCTTGAGTTGGCAAGGGGGACTTCCGTCTACCGAAACTCCAAGGATGTGCTTGGCACCCTCTAGAAACCTCAAATTCACAATCTCGCAGTCAGTGGAGTGGCATCATCCGCTGCACTGTCCATCCGTTGGCCGATCTCGTTGAACTCGATCTTCTTGCCGGTGATAAGACTCTCTTGCAATGCACAGCCGATCTTGACCGCAGCAACAGCGCCTTCGAGTCGGAAGGGAGGCTCGGTGTTGTCGAGACAGCAGGCGGTGAATTCGTTTGCTTCAGTGATGAACGCCTCCCGGAAGCGGCCATAGTAGTGCGGCGGGATCTCACGACGGATGCCCGATGGCTCGTAGATGTTGACAAGGTTGGACATTGGTTGTGTGTTGATGGCGAGTTTCCCTTCGGTGCCGATGATCTCAGTGCCTGGTTCCGCCTCGTTAGATGACATCCTGAACGAAGGGAGCCCCTTTGAGGGAAATGGTGAGGCCTTACTGTCTTCCTGTCCCGCAGCCATCATTCTACTGCAGTATAACTGAGCGATCTTGCCTCCGTAGAATTCGATGATGCCCAACGCGTTGTCACGATCGTTGTACTTTCGCAATTCCGGAGAGATAGCCGTGATGCCGATCGCGCTGACGGACTTGACGACGGAGTCCTCGCCAAAAAACCACAGGGCCAGGTCAATATCGTGGATGGAGCAGTCCACGAAAATGCCACCCGAAAACTGCGCGTACTGCACAAAGAACCCTGATGGATCAAGCTTGTCGCAGGTCTGGGATCGGAAGACAGCTGGGCGTCCGATCAATCCCGAGCGCATCTTCTGATAAGCATCCCTGTACGACGCATCGAAACGGCGGGAGAAGCCGCAGATGACTTTTTGGTTCGGGTAAGTTGTCTTGGAAGCCCGGTATGCTGTGACGACTGCCTGCGACTATTGGGGGGCATAGGGTCAGCATGCCGGGACAGACTCCGTAGCACAGGTGAAAAAGGACTCGGCAACATACGACTTCCGGATTTGTGCTGAGAGGCTTCTCACACAGGACGTGGAGGCCATGTTTGATGGCTTTGATGGCCTGCTCAGCGTGAACAATGGTTGCCGACGCGATCACAACGGCCTGCAACTCCTTCTCTTCCCTCAACATCTCGTCGTAATCCAGATACGTCCGCACACCTTCCACGTTTCGGGTCGCCCATGCCAGTTCTTTGGGATCTGGGGAAGAAACGGCAATCACGTCCGCGCGAGGGGTCATGGTATGGAAATGGAGAGCATGGCGAGCTCCCATGCGGCCCAGTCCCGCGATCGCGACCTTGAGTTTTGGCGAGGACATTCTCGGAGTGTGCTGTCTACAGAAATTGAAGCGGGAAAAAAAAAGAGTATCAAGCAGCAAAAGAGAAGACGTAAGAAATCTGCAAAGTGACCGGAAACACTCTCTCACCACGGTGGTATGAGCAGAAGACGCCAACCATTAAGCACGGCCCACCGGCATATATACCTTCGGGAGGAGATTTCGTTGTTGTGGTGACATGGACAATGGTGTCGATGAAAATGAAAATTCTGGCGGGCGGTGAAGGAGGAAGCAGCATTGGGTGATCTGATGGTCAGCTCCATATCAACCAGCTTAGGATCCGCAGTCGCAGCCCCGCCGGATGCCTCCTGAATAGTGAGCCACTGCTCTCCAGCAATCGGAAGAAATTGCCTTGTTCTGGCTCGGACCCCTTTTGCCACATCTGACGGCTAAAGGGTCAAGGTTGGGGCGAGGCGAGGCGGGGAAGTGGAGGATCAAAAAACAGGCAATTCTCCTCCGGCTGCTGCGTCCCATATGCTTTTCAGCTTCAGCTTTCTGTCGTCCTTGTGCCTCCTTCGGCGAAGATACACCTCGCCATACCTGATCCATCACCTATGACTCCATCCGGGTCGATGATCGAGCCATGGAGGCTTCAGACCTCGACCATCCACGAGAACAGGAACAGGGAGGGATCCGCCCGAAGAGCATCAATGATGTGGACCCCATCACAGGTCGGAGCAAGCGCAAGGCAAGAGTCAGTCCTTGCGATAACTGCAGAGGTGTTTCTCTCTCTCCTCTCCTTCAGCCTTGTCCAACCCCTATTCTAGAAACACCCCTTTCACGTGACGTACTGACTGTCTCGGGATAGAGAAGCACATCAAATGTAGGGTGGTGCCTTTCTGCCATGTGAAAAATACTCATGAGCATGGATGCTGAGCTATTCTAGGCGATTTGATCTCGGGCGTTTGCAAAAGATGTCAGAGGACTGGCGAGCGGTGTATCCGCAGCAGGACTGGCATCAGGTTTCGGCATGGGTCTAGTGCCAGATACGATACCAAGGGATTCTCGACAAACCAGACTTGGTTGAAACCGAAAAGGGCACTTGGTAGGGGCATTCAGATCTGGGGACATAGGGTGCTGACACTCCCCCCGCAGAATTAAAATACATTGACGAGACTGCCGAGTTGACAGCAATCTATGACCAGGATGCAGAATTCGAGCATGCCGAAGACCTGGAGGGTGAAGATGAGGTCGAGCCCGGGCCGGCTTCATCTCTAGGGGATGGAGAGGGAGGCGATGATGCAGTTGACCTTCCTGACACAGCCACGCATTCATACCACCAAGATAAAGGCACAACGGATTTCACCAATTCAGGGACAGGGACGGGAGACGCTTCGAATGCCGGGGTCAGTGCATGGCCGTCACAAACAGGCAAACAATCCATCCTCGAAAATGCCGCTGAGTCGACTACTGGACCTTCGCCCCTTTACATACGCAGCCATTGGGGTGCCCAGAGTTCAATCCCTTACTCCTCCCCTGTTCAGACCAGGCCCGAAGACTTTGAGCCGCCGAGCTCGCCGCTGTTCACGGGCCTGGTGAAAAAGCCATCGAGGTCATCGACCCAATCAATACACACGGTACAGGAGGTGATTCTTCTTCGCTATTTCGTGGACCATCTGGCTCGGTGGTTCGATCTCTGTGACCCAGAGAAACACTTCGAATTCATCGTCCCTCACCGTGCGCGCTGGTGTCCGCCACTCCGAAACGCCATGCTTGCCGCTGCAGCGCGCCACCTCACCCGCGTTCGCCATTCAAAGCTAGGCCCGGAGAATGTCTATTACCTCGACGGCCAGCCGGTTCCTGACCTGACCGAAGAAACGGCCTTGCACTACCACAGCGAATGTATAAAAGACCTGCTCAAGCGAAGCCTCGACCCAGAACAGACAAGAGACGAGAACCTCCTGGCGGCAGCCATCATCCTCCGGTTTTACGAGGAGATCGACTCGCCCCTCCGCGCCGACGAGGAACGAGACAGCGAGCTCTTCCTTCGTGTCATGAACGTCTTTATCGATGCACAAATTCCCTCGGTCCCGCTTGTCCCCCATAGTTCACCGGTCATCAACGGGCCCAAGGTCGGCCCGATTGCGAGATACAATACCGTGCCATCTCCAGAAGCGGTGCACTCCCCTATTGTCCCCGCAGTCGCATCGCCCTCGCAGAACTTGGGTAGTTCAGTTGATGGCCAGTCGAGGTGGCGAGCAGACGGTCTCTGTCAAGCCAGTTTCTGGGTGGCATTTCGCCAGGAGATATATTCGGCCTTCCTGAAACAACGGCCTTTTAACCACGATCTCTCGCGCTGCGAGGCGTTTCGATCCTTCTCACCAGCCGAAGACGCCGTGTGGGCCGACAGGTTGATCATTTTCTGCGCGGACGTCCTCGAATTCTGTTATGGGAACAGTAACTCGAGCACGCGCCTAGACACAAACCTCTCCACCACGGACAACTGGCTCTCCCTCAAGCAGTACGAGGAAATGTGGCCGGAAGTACTCCCGGCCTCCTTCGAACCCATTTACTACCGCGACCCGGACAGGTCGAAGGGAGAGGTATTCCCCGAGGTCTGCTATTTGGCCGACTGTCACGTCACCGGCGTGCAGCACGTTGAACTGGCCAAGATCCTGCTGGCCGTGTACGATCCTACGCGACCGAAGCTTGGGCCCGGCCACGTCGCCAGCATGAAAGCATTGAGCCGGGAGTTGAGGACGATCGTGCTGCGTCTTTGTGGAATCGCCATGAGCAACCGCAAGACGCCGCCGGGCCTGGTGACGGCACTGTTGGGCATAGTGGTGTGCGGAGATCACTTCGAGGACAGAATGGAACAAGATGCTCTGTTTGGCATACTGGATGAGCTGGAAGGGACGCACGCTTGGCCGATCGGCAACACGAGGAATCTGCTGAGGGACGCTTGGGGAAGGCCCTGAGACCACGGACATCCTCTTGATGTTTTGAAGTCCTATGCCGGCAATGATACTTGGGAGAGGTACTCTGTATTACTTCTCGTACGCTGTGCCACAGTATATGCTCTGGGGTGACATGTAAATTCATGCATGACTTTGACGTGTCTGGGTACAGCGAAGCGAGTAGCACCTGATCGCAGGACTCAAGCAAGGCCGAGTGAGAGTTCTATCCGAGGGCACTCCATCCGTCCAACATGACTGCCATTCGCCCCCGGCGCAAACAGGCCTCGTTCGGAGAAAAGCCACGAGCTACTGATAGAGGAGCTCTCCCAGCCCGCTTCTGGGAATGCATAACCCTTCTCTTCCCCCTTCCCCCTCCCTCCTTTAACGGGAGATGGTACGACGCAATGTCACAACACTGAAACTCCGGGAAGAGAGACTCCAGAAAGAGAAAAGAGAAAGGAAGGCAAGCGCTGAGGTTATTTTTCTTTCTCCTGGAGCGAGACTCGAAGACAGCCTGGTCTCGCCGACAAATTTCCTTTTCTGCCCAAAGGGGCGCTTTTTCGCCTTGACGTGACGGCATCGGCCTTTTTCTCGGTCTCTCGCGAATGTGAACATTACACGCCGAATATTTCATTGAATTCTACGAGTGGGAACTGGCTCACTAACTACCCAGGCACGCATCCATATCCAGAGTCCGTCCAGGGACAAACTTGCCTGGATTGCCGCCCGAGCTGCAACTGTGTTGCAATGTGACTGCAACATGTAGAAATTCCCTCGAATACCAGAGGGACAGCACTGATGTGTGACATACATTGTCCAGCACTTCCAGAAAGGTGAGCCCAGAAAGAAAAGGCCAGAAAGCTAGGCAGAGTTTTGTTGCACCTGCTACTCTTCCCGTATGTCAGTGTCTGCGGTCTTTTGATAGACCCGTTGTCGATTATTCCCTCCCCATTTCTATAAGTCCTGTTCCTGCTTGTCAAACGGCGAGCCTGAGGAAAAGCAAACAAGATGCTAGGCGTGACTGGTGCCCTGTTTACCCTCGTGTTCGCCATCTGTTATTTCATCCTCGTCCCCTTCATCACCTACATCCGCGACCAAAAGGGCCTGCGAAAATACCCCAATTTGACACTTTGGTCTGGGATATCGGACCTGCCTTTCATCTACGAAGCACACAAAGGCTTCCGGTCGCACGGGCTGCTAAAAGCCCACGAGAAGTCGCCGGTCGTGCGGATTGGGCCGAACTCGCTCTCGTTTTCCAGCCCCGAGGCGATCAAGGACATTTACGGGCACAACACGAAATGCAGCAAGGACGTCTTCTACCAAGAGCTGGCGGGGAGCCATTTTCACCTTGCGGATGTCGTCGACAAGCCCGCGCACGCTCGGAAGAGGAAGATGTTGTCGAGTGCTTATGCCATTAAGAATTTGGAGGGATGGGAACACAAGGTTGCAGACATGACGGCTCGGTTGATCAGGGCCTTCGACGCTCGATGTTCTGCACCACTGCCCAAGGGCCAGCTGCCGACGAAGGAAGACCTCACTGTCGATTATCGCATGTGGACCAACCTATTCACTGTGGCAGCGATTGCCAACATCGGACTGAGTGAAGATCTGGGCTTTCTGGACCGAGGAGATGACCTAATTACCTCCGAGGCCGCTGATGGGACACTGAAGAAAGTCCACTTCAGAGAGTGCCTACACGCCACGGCATGGGCACAGTCGAATCTGGTCTGGTCTTACAGCTGGTACAAGAGACTAGTTCGCCTCAGCAAAATCTTCTCTCGTACCTACCGGGAAAAGTGGCGGTTAAACCAAGACTGGGACGGCATTGTGCGAAACCGGGCCACGACAAGGTTCAAGCGATACCTGGCCGGTGAACAGCTGGACGACTTTTTCACGGCCATCTTGCACGACAAGTCAGGCAGGCCCAACAACCTCGAGTGGGGCGAAATGGTCGCTGAAGTCAGCATCATGATGAATGCAGGCAGCGACACGACGGCGATTGCAATGAACAATGCAATGTTCTTGCTCTTGAAGAATCCAACCTGCCTGGACAAGCTCAGACAAGAGTTGGACAATGCCCTCGAGGACGACGAGGGGGTCGCGTCCTACGACAAGATCAAGCACCTCCCTTACCTCCGGGCTTGTCTCGACGAGAGCTTACGCCTCCTCCCGCCAACGACCTTTGGGTTGCCTCGTCGCACCCCGGCCGAAGGAGCGCCCGTCGCGGGCGATTTTATTGCAGGAGACACCTCAGTATCCGTGTCCTCGTACGTAGTGCACCGGGACAAGACTATCTTTCCAGACCCAGAACAGTACAGGCCCGAGAGGTGGTTAGAGCCAGCAGGTAAGGAATTGCAGCCTTATTTCATTGCCTTCTCTGCAGGGGCGCGGGGCTGCATTGGTCGAAATATAAGCTATCTAGAACAGACGGTTCTGCTGGCCTCTGTAATTCACCGGTTTGAGTTCGCTTTGTCATACCCTGAGTGGGAGCCGACGAGGAGGGAGAATTTCAATCTCTCGCCAGGGCCTATGCCGCTGAAGGTCTGGAGACGGGAGAGGATGCATGAATGAACGCGGCGTGGGACATGGAGCACGCAAGCATAGAACGAACTTCTTTTGTTCGATATATCTCCTAGCAATTGGACGTTCAGTAGTGAATGAAAGGAAGGGGGCATAGTTGACGTATCTCATGTCTTCGTATTTGATATGTTTCTGCCCAAACAGTGAATCTGTTCAAGCCATCTTAAAGCTCCTCTTCTTTCTGAAGGCACGCCAATGTGATCGAGACCATACTGTGTGATGTGTCGCCACACCTCGTAGCAAGACACACTGTCAAGGTCAGGTCCAAGTCCAGCTTTGTTGTCTGTCAGCTCTTGACTCGTTCATCCGTAATGGCAAACCACAGAGGTCTCGTGTTGGGGAGGAAGGAGGAGGGGGCCAGTTTGACTCCAGACTGACGGGAGTGAGGTCCGGTCGTGACAGCAGGGCACCCCGTATTCCCCGGCCTACTAGTCCCAAAGATACTCAGTACAACCGAGAGAGAAAGATGGGGGAGGCTAGTGAGGCCTGGGGGAGGGCGTCGTCTTGTGTCTGGGGTGCGGGCGGAATATTGCCTTGTGTGGCATTGTGGGGATGCTTTCGCCGACGTCTGGGCGCAGGAACATCTTCGCCCAGTCCTTCCCCCAGACATTCCCCTCCCCCTTTCAAACTAACTCTCAGCGAGCAACTCCAGGAATGGGATCGTTCCAGCCTCTTAGCCTTTCGTAATTGTGGCCAGGCTCATTGGTTTGCCGCGCCGCCCAATCATCCTTCACTGGTCAACGGTTGCTGGTTCAAGGATTCGACATCATGGATCCCCCTCCAATCGACCCGCGAGAGACGCAAACGCGAGACTTCCAGAAAAGAAAAATGTATCGATTACAATACGGGAAGAGCAGGTGGGATTGTCTATATAACCCCAGGAATCCCCCCCCGGGTATCTGAGACCGCTTCAACTCCATCCCAACGCCTCGAGCACCGAGAAGAAGGTCCAAGACTCGATCAATCACCAGCCCAGAGATCGCCTCTCATCGTTTTCCCTCCGCCCTTCCTCTCAGAGCTTTAATCCACGATGGCGAGCCGCGACCACCTCTCCATTGAACAGAAGATCCAAGAGAAGACAGCTCAGCATGAGCACCTCGAGGAACCACCCCGACACGAGCTGCGAGGGAGTCTTCGCGCCGACAGCGTGACACGCACCTCGTTCGACCGCCGCCACTCGACATCCATGCCCGGCACCGGCAGTCGCCGTGAAAGCATCCGGAAGAGCTTCGACAGGGCCAACGTCGCCATGGTAAGTCTTTGGCTCTACAGTGGCGCAGTTCGCAACAGGAGGTAGCTGCTCCCAGAACAGGACCGAAAATGGCTAATCCATCCATAATCACAGGTCTTCCCAGATTCGACCCACGTCGAGATGTCCGACGATGAAATGGGTAAGAACTCGATCGACGACATCTCCCCTTCATGGTTCGTCTGGCTGGTCGCTTTGACCGCCTCGATCGCCGGCTCTCTCTTCGGCTACGACACGGGCATCATCTCCGCCGTCCTGGTCTACCTGAACGACGACCTGAACAATCGCTCCGTCTCGTCCAACGAGAAGGAACTTATCACGTCCCTCTGCTCTGGGGGTGCTTTTGTCGGCGCCATCATTGCTGGCCTCACTGCGGATAAGTTTGGCCGCAAAATGGCCATCTATGTCGGTTGTGCTCTGTTCACCATTGGCGCCGTTCTGCAAGCCGCGGCGTATTCGATTGCCCAGATGTCCGTTGGCAGACTCGTTGTCGGATTCGGTGTCGGTTCAGCTGCCATGGTGGTGAGTCTCACTCTGAACTCTCATTACAGAGGGTCCGACGAGTGACTACTAACGACATAACCCAAGGTCCCCCTTTATATCGCCGAGATTGCTCCCACCAAAGTCCGCGGAAGACTTATCGGATTGAACAATATGTCAATCACCGGTGGACAGGTAGTGTCGTATGGAATAGGAGCCGCCTTCGCTCATGTGCCCCACGGATGGCGTTACATGGTTGGCTTGGGGGCTGTCCCTGCCATTATCCTCGCTTGCCTCTTACCGTTCTGTCCGGAATCACCCCGTCAACTTGTCTACCATGGCAGAATCCCCGAAGCTGAAGCAGTCTTGGCCAAGATCTACAAGGGAGCTACGGCCGAACAAGTGCGAGCCAAATGCGCCCTCATCGCAGCCGCCTGCGAGGAAGCCAAGGAACTCAACGACGATCAATCCCGCTGGTCCAAGATCAAGCAACTGCACACCAACCCTGCCTACTTCCGTGCCTTGGTCTGCGCGTGCGGCTTGATGGTCATCTCGCAGATGTCCGGCTTCAACGTCCTGATGTACTACTCCTCCACGCTCTTTGACATTGTGGGCTTCTCGAACCCCGTTGCCGTCGGTCTGGTTGTCGCGGGCACAAACTTCGTCATGACCTGGGTCAACATGATGCTCGTCGATCCCGTGGGCCGCCGCC